TAAGTTCCTTTTATCAATATGATTCCTCATTAGTTTCTTAAACTCAGGGGTAGCAAATCAGTATTGATTATTCTAAAACCAGATCTTTGGTGCGTAGTGACGTACTGTGGTCTGCAGGTCTGTGGAAGTGTAGCATTATGCTGACAGCTACTGACTGTGGAGTCAGACTGCCTAGGTGTTCATCCTTTGCTCTGTCTACTAACTGTGACCTTGGGCAAGTTGCTGAAGTTCTCTGGGCCTCAATTTCCTCCCTTTTTGTGGGGAGGAGGGATGCTCAATTTCTTTAGATTTTAAATGGGGATATCTCCAAAGTCATTGCAAAGATTACTTGAATTAATATAAGTATTTAGAACCTGGAAAGTGTGTAGAACCTGGAAAACTCTGTAATATTACTAGTAGCTGTTGTTTTGTTTGTTGTTGCTGTTGTTGTTACTTAGGGAAAAAATTTATTTCCTTTTCATTATAAGAGTTGTAATGCTTTCTAAACAAGATTTATTTTATTTCATTTAAATGGTTAATTCAGCATGATATACTTTTAATTTTTCTGTATATAATTTATTGATTGTTAAAATTTGTGATTAATTTATAGCCAAGTCAGAGGAATTTTTTTATGCCTCTTAAAATGTTTTAATCAGATGACACTGAAAAACAATCTAAATAAAGATGTCTTAAATCGTTTTTCTTTGCTTTCAAGAGCCAAATGAGTAAAGTACTCAAAATTCAATGTTTTCCTTGGGTTAGAATATTTTTAAATACTTATTTAATTTTAAGAAAGAAGTTATTTTATTTATTTGTAAATATAGGAAAAGGCAGACACACCCACTGGTATGTAAGTACATTCAGGTGTATTAAGTGGCCTCCTTTACCCCCTCTAAAATGTACATACTGCCATCTGCTGGAGAGAACTTTTGTGCAACATTTAGATGGAAAAAAATTAGTGTCAGTTTTTGTTTGTTTTTTGATAAGTTAAACTATATCTTTCATTCAATTAAACACATTGAAAGTATGAGTCTTCACATCTCTTTCAGGGAAAACTAAGATGGGGGTGGTTGTTTTTCTAGCTCTTTTCGGGTAGATTATGAAAATACGTCCACAAACCTTTAAAGCTTTTTGCAAGGATAGGTGGAGGAGTGCTAAAGTACTTTATATTATGCGGAGGGCAGTTGTGTGGCATTTTTCTTGATTGAAACAACTGTGTAATGTAGGCAGAGCAAGTTCAATTATAATTTGCCAACTAGAAAAGAGAGGATCAGAGAGGTTAAATGACTAACTGAGGTTACTCAATTTATCAGTGGCATAGCTGGGACCAAATCACAGGCCTTTGAATAGCTAATCCAAAGTGCTAATTATTTCTCCAACTCTTATCATATCCACTATGTCTCAGAGTATAAAAACATTGCATCCTATTACTGGTAAGGCTTGGAAAGATGAAAAGCAGTCAAATTATTAAGTTCACTTTAAAAGTAAATAAGGTACAGGAAGCAGCAACTTTTTAAACCTGGAAAGGCACAATATTGAGTGGTATCCAGTACTTTGTACAATGCAGACACCTACTAGTTGTTGATTTGCCACACGGAAAGAATACTTTCTTCTATGTATACATATACTGCCTATATGCCACCCATCCAGTTTAGGTCTACCCTGTGACCGTTTCATGAATGTGTGCTGACTCAGAATACTCCATAACTAATTTTGGTTCTATCAGAACCCTATTACCTAATTAGCTTAGTGTGACTTATAAATAAACAAAACAAAACATTGACTCTTGTTAAATAACATTTTTCTTTTGGTGAATGGTAAATTTTTAAAAGTGTCCCTTTATTCCATCATTTTATGTTACATAAATGTAATATTTCCATGAAATATATTTGTGTAATATTGCCATTGACAACATGAATTTTGTCCATTATAGTTTCTTGGCACTGTACTGATTTTAAAATTCACCAAATACAAAGGATCTACTAATTTAGGGGGGAATAGATGCACATCATACTAACTCATCTTTCACAAGTTGCTTGCCATTATTACCAACGTTTGTTAATTGTATGATCCTAGGATTTTCTGGTATAGATTTTTCCTGTAACATTTAAAAGTGCGGTTGTCACTGCTATTCTGCAATGGCTGTAAGTTCCTCCCTCCCTTCCATCACCTCTGCTCCAGAAATTGATTCATTTGTTTAAACCTAGCTACTTTTCTTTAATTTTCATTTGTGTTCTCCAATTTTTGTTCACACTTTAAAAAGTACTGGTAATGCATATTTTATAATGTATTTACTAACATTGCTTTCTTTTTTTTCTAACATTGCTTTCAACCTTTTCGTTTTTTACATTGAAAGTTACAAGGAGCTAAGTACGTGTTGAGTGAGGCTATGTTGCTAATTCAAAACATGCCTTACAGAAAGTCTCTGGAAATATCTGAGAGTCTTGCGATGGATTTTGTTGGCCTATAACATTAGAACTTCCTTATTAGGTAATTAATCCAGAAGAAGAGGGGACATTTGGTTTTCAATTAGGCAGTAGGAGGTGTGGAGCGAGATGAGAGAATCTGCCCATGACCAAAAAAGGTCTTAAGAAACCAGCATTTTGTCCAGCATTCAGTTTTTCCTTATATTTACCTCAAATCTACCCTGTAATAGTGTTAACTCATGGGGTTTTTTCCTATTTATTTTATAGATATACAGGATATATTGGACCCCTTTTCCATATGGCTGCTATTAAGTCTTCTCTAGGGTTTTCTTTTCTTCTTCCTATACTTGAATGTCGCTCTCTTCCTCTCACTGAAATTTCTTTGAGCAATTTGTTTGCATGAGTCAAATATTTTCATTTTTGCCTAACACTGTGAGATAGTGTTCTTGTGTCCTTTTTAAGTTTATGTTTTATTTTTGTTGTTGACAGTATTACAAATGTCTCCCACTTTGCCCACCTCCCGCCCCACCCCAGGTCTTGCCCCTGCTGGTGTCCTTTTGATCAAAGCTCAGAAAGTTGAAGAACACAAGCAATGAGGGGTTGAACCACGATGTCAACTGAGACCGTTAGTGTTTGGCGTCAGGCTCTTAGCCACTATGTCTCCCCAGCCATTCTTTATGTGACCATTCTCCAGGTTTCTTGCTCTTTGCTCTTCTTCAGGTACATTTGTTGGTTGTCACTACCTCTTGTATAACAACACAGACAAAAGGAGCTCAGTACTTCAAGGGTTCTCTGGCCTTTAGTAGGACAGCTTGGGGATGAGCTACCTACATGCACACCTGATAGCAGGTTTTCTTTTTCACTCCATGGCTTATCTTGAACAGGTATTAAATCTGGTCTTACCATTCTATGTTTGTGTGTGTGTTTGTAAATGAATGTGCATATATGCATGCATTCTTCCACTAAAAAGGACTCTATATCTTTTTGTTGTTGTTGTTAAACTACATTTTGTCATCGTTAGTATATACTAGCTTTGTGAGATCTTTTTCCTCTGTTTTAGGCATTCTCTTTTTTCCCCCCCAGGTACACATTCAGTAAGTATGCTTTTAGTTCACATTGAAGGCTTTGGTTTTTTAAGGTGTTCTATGCAGTCCCATTTGATTCTTGAAACATTTCATTTGAGATTTCTTGATCTATATCTTGGTGACTGTGGCATTTCACAATTTTATGATTCATGAGTTTCTTTTTTTTTTAGAACGTTCTACCATTTTTGAGTTATATTTCTTTTTAAAACCTCTTTCTGTGAGATTTTTAAAATTTGTAACCTATTTTTTTCTCTGTAGGTTTTTAATTTTCCATGCTTACTGTCCAAACCTCCTGGATCTCAAGTGGAACTGCAGTTGGTTTTCCATCCCCCTTTTAGTTATTACAGCTAACTTTGTAATCTAGTTGGATAGCCTCACCTTTTCCCATTCCTGCTGGCATCTCTGAACTTATGAAGTGTTCCTCATCACACTAATTTGCACTAGATTCCACAGAAAATACAGAGACAGTCCACTTTGGATTCATATCTGCCAATAACTTTCCGTGTGTTTTTGTATGTCAGTTAATATCTACAGGCTTCATCTTCCTCATTTGTATAAAATTATCTTGGGCCCTGGCCCATTTGGCTCAGTGGATAGAGCGTCGGCCTGCGGACTGAAGGGTCCCAGGTTCGATTCCCGTCAAGGGCATGTACCTTGATTGTGGGCACATCCCCAGTAGGGGGTTTGCAGGAGGCAGCTGATCGATGTTTCTCTCTCATCGATGTTTCTAACTCTCTATCCCTCTCCCTTCCTCTCTGTAAAAAATCAATAAAATATATATATTAAAAAAATTAAAAAATAAAAATAAAGTTATCTTGGACTATGACTTCTGAAGTTGCTTAAATCCTAATATCTATGATTTTACAGTACACCCAATCACTTTTAGAAATTTCAATGTAACTTTAAATAGTAAATAAAAGCAGGTACTCAATTTTCCTTTCTGAGCTCTATCCAGGCCTGACGTGCACTCATCCGATATGCACTCACACAATCACATTAGTAATTCAAATATGGAAGAACTTCTATTCTGTTGGACTTCTAAATAATCATTGCCTAGTTGCCGCATTCCTCTGGGGGAGGGGCATTGAGAGGCTCCCATCCCTGAACACTGGCTCTACTTCCATGGGCTCTCTCAACCAGACACACCACCCCAGCTGCCACAGCTCACAGAGGCTTCACCAGAGTCACCCTCTAGTGGTTGCTTTTGGTAAATGTTATATGTGGATTATAGCACATGTTGACTAACTACAGTAGTTTAATGAGGCCCTTTTAAAGCATATTCTCTATGTTCATGATATTTCAGAGTGTGCAAACTCAGTAATTCACATACTAGCAATTATTCCAAAGCTAAAAGTGATCTCATCTCAGAGTTCAGTTTAAACTAGTACATTTTTAAAAAAGTGATTTGACTTCAGTACTTGTAATTACATGGCTGATCCCTTAATTATTACACATTTGACAAAGTCCTCTGTGTTCCCTTTCTTTTGGTAATTATCTGCTTTGTTTCTAGGTGAATGAAATTTACCATGATGAGTCCCTCGGAGTACATATAAATGTGGTCCTGGTGCGCATGATCATGCTGGGTTATGCAAAGGTAAGCTGTCTTAAAATATGTGGACGATAACGTTAAGGACGGGGTTAGCAAATAGAAGATTAAGTTGTTGAAGCTACAGCCAACAGATGGCATAGATAAGTCTCATGCAAACCTCAGTTGTGCTGAACTGATGAAGAAAAACAGCCACAGTGAGTAGAGATCTCCAAATTTGAGCAGATAATGAATGATTTGTGTGCTGGTACCATTCCCTTGGTTTACCTCTGTAATAGAGTAGTAGATAGTTATCCTGACATCAAGCATAACAATATGGATGAAAAAAATGGATACCATTGTGAGGAAAGAGAATATCTTAGTCTTATCATTATTATAAAATTTATGATTCATCTTTTTCTTTCAAAACATATATTGAGTGTCAGATGCTTTCTAGGTGCTTCAGATATATCAGTGAAGAAAAATGACCAAGATCATTTCCTCACATGATTTGTTTTAAAAAAAGTAAAGCACATAGTGAATATTTTAATTTAAAAGAGCTTTAGTCCTTTTGAAAATTAAAAGTTAGATCAAAATGCACATAGTAGGCATTTCATGGGATGTAACTAACTATAGTTGACTTTAAGATGGCACTAGATGTGTCCCTGTTCTTGGAAATAATGCAAAGGATGAAATGGTTTCTTCCTTTGGGGAGAAAATATAGGGAAAGTGATAACTTGGCAATTTTCTTGATGTTTAAAATTATATCCCCCTCCCATAATTAAATTCTTCTGATTATGAAATACTAATGAAATTATGTAGTTAGCAAATAGAAAAAAATCCACGTGCTTGCATTTCATCATGTATTTAACACCCACTTATCGTTTTCCAATAAGAGGGTGTCATTGATCTTTCGTTTATCCCATAAACCTGACGGACTTTGCATTGATGACACTGAATCCAAGTCAACTCCAGTAGGAGATGTTAACAGCCTTCATTGGTTGTTACATTATTTTCTTGGAGAAGTTTGCGATCAGCATGTAACAAACCAAGCTAATTTTGTAAAGAATGTAAACACTGATAATAACATTTGCTGAAATATAATAAAACTCTCAGCCTGTGAGCCAAGCAGGGACTAATTAATTTGGGGTTGCAAGTTCAATTTCTCATTCCAGCAGAGCTACTCTGGGAAGTGTGGCTCCTGGTTCTTGAAGGATGGTCCCTTTCCCCCTGAACTTTTAACTCCTGACCATAATGTGACAGTAGCAACATTCCAAGGAACTCCAATCCATCTATTGGAACTACAAGATAAGTCTACACCCCTACCTCTCTTTATTGCTGTGAGCTTAAAAAGGAGAGTTGTTTTTCACAGTGTGAGGTTTATAGAATTTGACCACTCCCCATTAACTAAGATTTAACCAGCTTTGCCAGCTCATTGAAGAACTTATATTCTCCCCATATGTTGATTAATTCTGGAGCCCCCCCAAAAATCTTAACTAAAGATCTTTCACTTTAACAGCTCTGGATAAAAGTCTCATGCCAGAATCTTTCCTCTATTTTTATTCTTAATACCTGTGAAACTAAAAATCTAAGCTGAATTAGGAAATATTTAGATTACTAGAGGTCTTAACCCCATGACTAACATTGAGTTGCCTCACAATAGCAAATCTCAGCATCGCATATTGCCATATATGCGTCAGTCACCTTTCACACAGGTAATATTGGTTATCGTAAAGAGCTCCTTCATGGGCATTTAAAATTCCCAAACTAAAGTAGGTATCTAAATAGCTCCCAAATAATATTATCGAACATTTATTTAAATGCTGTAATCCCAAATGTTAACTTCAGCTGAAGTTATTAAAAGAAGCCTTTGGGCAAATGTTATGTATGTCTTCAACATATTATTCCCTCTCAGTCCATCAGCCTCATAGAAAGGGGAAATCCATCCAGAAGCTTGGAGAATGTGTGTCGCTGGGCTTGCCAACAACAAAAATCGGATCCCAACCACTCTGAACACCATGATCATGCAATTTTCTTAACCAGGCAAGACTTTGGACCTGCTGGAATGCAAGGTATTTCCATTCAGATGTAGAAGAAAAACTCAAGGGCATGACTTTTCCAAAGTAATCTTAAATCAGGGAGTCTGTTCAAATGTTCATTTTATCTCTCTCCCTCCATCTACTTTCCACCATGCATCAGCCAAGCATACATTTTCTTTCTATTGCTTCCAGTGACTCCTGTGGAATTCACCATATTAAATGCCACTTAGGTTCCATAATAAATTATACTTGCCTTTAACATAATGATTGTGCATTTGAGGTATGGAGGAGAGGCTGTAAAATGCAGTGTGATCTCCACTAAGCGTTGGAAAGGGAAAAGAGATGCCATGAGAAGTGACTGCTGCCAGAGAGCTCTATCCCGAAGTCAGCTTACATTGAGCTAATAAATTCTGGGGTAGGCTTTGGAAAAAGAAGACCGACGGTTTTCTTTTCAATGTTGATGGAATTTCTGGCTCCCTTCATTGGTACCATGATATGAAGGACCATTCACTAAAACAGAAAGACAACACTTAGTTGGTGGGCAGAACAGAATGGTAATCCCAGGCAGTTCCTTCCCTTAGAAAAGGAGAAAATGCAGACCCAGTGAATCTTTTCAAAGACCATTACCTGTCGCTTTCCCAAGAGAACGTGGCACAATGCTAGTGGGGAAATAATACTGCCTCTGTTTCCTAAAAAGCTTTTTTATATTTTTTTCTAGGCAAAGGTCCAGTAGTAATTCTTAATGGGTTTTCTCATAAAATGAAAATAAAAGTAATTGTTATTCTCTACAGGATATGCTCCAGTCACAGGCATGTGTCATCCAGTGAGAAGCTGTACCCTGAATCATGAGGATGGTTTTTCATCTGCTTTTGTAGTGGCCCATGAAACCGGCCATGTGTAAGTCACTGTTGACAGCTAGAAAGCCAGAAAAGGTCTTTTCTTGCCTGCTTTTCTCAGCATTGTTCGCACTGTGGGCAGAGGGCATGCCAGCATGCAACTCCCGTCCCTTGCCAAGTGTGAGGAGCTGAAACACTGAAGAGGTCATGCACTGAAACCAAATGAGCAACTCTAGCTGCAGACACCCTTGCACTTTTCATAGCTGTAAAATTAGAAAGGCATTTCTGTCCAGTTCTCTATTCCACAATGCCTGTGACTCCTCCACAATAGCCATGTTCACTTAAAAAATACATATTTCCCTATACAGTAAGCCCTCAGTTAACATCGTCGATAGATTCTGCAACTTTAAGCAGAATGACTCATAATGAAACCAGTTTTACCATAGGCCAATTGACACAATCCAGAGTTACGTTTCTTCGGCATCTCATCAACATTATAAGGAAAGGACATCACACAGAATGATATAATTGAGGACCTACTGTATTTATTTTTAAAACAGAAAATAAGCAGAAGCCCTGGCCCCTGTGATTCTTACCAACAAGATCTCGCTTTGTGTTCTAGGCTGGGAATGGAGCATGATGGACAAGGCAATAGGTGCGGCGATGAGACTGCAATGGGAAGCGTCATGGCTCCGTTGGTGCAAGCGGCGTTTCATCGTTACCACTGGTCCCGGTGCAGTGGCCAAGAATTGAAAAGATACATCCAGTGCGTCCCTTTCTGCAAGTCCTGAGAGCATTTATATTGTAGCAGAAATACAGACGGGAAACTGACTCTTAGGATCTTCTTCATAATAAAACTCCCAGTGAATGAAAACTGTTGTTGACAGTAAACATTTTCTTATGACTCAGGGCTGTTGGCACAATGATCCCATAATATGATCACGATATTTTAAGCCATAAGCCCAGAATTTAAGTGATATTTAACTATGATTTTTGTTTTTAGTAAATTCTTTATGGAATCTTTGACAAATGGTTAGATTTGAGTTGAGGATGAGGAGGAGGATGAGGAGGAGATGGTCCTGTGATGCCTTCATAATACCACCTACATCCTGTAGCAAAGGTGTCAGAATCTGCTCTGCCACACTCTGCAGGAGCTCCAGGACACGAAAAAGGCTGTCGCGGTTATGCTGCATCCCTAAGTCGTGTTTGACTCCTTTTCCTGGGATGAATAAGGGTGAAGGGTCTTGTTTATGAACGGAACTAAAACCAAAAACCTTTAAAGATAAGCTTTTGTGGCCTTGCTCTGTTCTAATGAAATTCCAGAGTATGTAACCTATGGATAGTTTTTTTCATTAGGACAAGATAAAAGAATGAACATTTAACTACATGCGATGTTTCCCTTCCTACAGTTCCTATGACTGTCTCCTTGATGACCCATTCGAACATGATTGGCCCAAACTCCCAGAACTTCCTGGAATCAATTACTCTATGGATGAGCAATGTCGTTTTGACTTTGGGGTTGGTTATAAAATGTGCACTGCGGTATGTTTCTCTCAGTCAATTTAGATCTTGCATCTTGAATTCTATTTTGTGTAGCTCCTGTTTGTTGAGCTTTACAGACTCACTGGTGTGAGCATGAGAATTTCTTCCAAGGATTTTGTGTTTGCCATGTCACTACATATTAAAGCTGAGTACTTTAAATATACTGTCTTATTAATACTTGTGACAGACTAGCTGGAAGTTGGTATAATTATATTTTACAGATGAAAAAGCCAAGATTTACAGAGTATAAGCAACTTGCTTAAATCGCACATCTGGTAAACAGGGGAGCTGGATATTGAAACCAAGGTTGTCCAGCTCCAAACTTTATGCTCTGCTCTGTTGCGCCCTTGGGTTTTGTAACCTTCAGAGATGACATTTAAGCCTTAGGTAGGTTGCTTTCCATTAGCTTGTTGGCCAGGATTCCATGTAGCTGTGAGCACAGAGAAGGGCAATACTAGTTTATTCTGCGAGAATCACGTGGTAGAGCGTGGAGGTCAGGACTACGTTCTTCATAGTCAGACTGATGAGTCAAGAGGGCCTGGATCTGACACTAGATGTACGATTTTGAGCACCTTCTTTAATCTCTATTTAGTTTCCTCATGTGTAAAATATGGATAATCATAGTATTCATCTCATAGAATTGTCAGGATTCAATTTCATAATATAACTAAAGTGCATGGCACAATGGCAGGCACATACTAGTCAATGCTCAGTGGAATCCAGTAGAGCCAGTCTTCCATGTAGCTATTCAGATTAGAGGTATATGTCTTTAAATTTCCATGTTGAGGTGTAGTAGTTCATTATAAAAATTGCTTTTCCATATGTTGGAGCAAGCTTTATGTGTTATAGCAAACAAACAAACAAAGAAAGAAAACACACGTATTTAATGGTACTGAAAGAAGTTGACCTGATGTTTCAAATCTTCCATATGCTGATAGCGACAGCCATTGGACTCTCTATAAACTATACATTGCCAGCTCCTAATCATCTGCATTAATGTTTTGACCTGAAAATTCTAAAGGTTAGGCTCAATATGGTGGGAATGTATAGTTTCCGCATTAAGTAATAAGGATTAGAAAAAAAACCCAGGTCCAAAATGAGTACTAATCAAGAAAAAGCTCTGACCGATATAATTGGTGGTGTAGGCAATTATATATGAATAAATTGGTGTTTGATATTTTTTTTAAAAATCTATCTGAAGAATGGTAAGGTGTTTATAGTTAGAAGGAGAACAGATAAGTAAAGAGCACACACAAATATGTATGCTGACGCATACATTTAGATACTATAAGGTGGTGTTTTGGGAAAATAAAAAACAGTCTTAAGATTGAGAAAACTAAGACTCCAGTTGGGCTATGTTACTGTTTCACTTGTAACCATAGCTATAGCCTTATCTTGTAACCCATATTTCTCAGCCATGGATTGTCATGAGACTCAAATACATGGAATGTATTTTATAAACTGCATGAATGTATTGTAATAGTTTGTTACACCTGGAATATGTTATCTTACATAGAAAATTTGACAAATATTTTCTGCTTTTAGTCAGCTCATTATAATGGACATTTTTATTATTTATATCTGACTTACTTCATACTTAGGGGTATTGAGAAGCTGTTTTGATAGCTTAAAAGCTAGAAAACCATTATAATAAGTTTTTATATTTAAAATTTTCCTAATAATTACTATTTTAAATTCTAATATTGTCTACTTGAAAACCAGAAGATAGGGTTGGCATGTAGAAATACTGAGTCAACTAGAGACTCTCAGATAAATTGTTTATCACTGTTATTTTAGAAAAGCAGAATAAAAATATTCTCAGCTTAGAATTCTTAGGCATTATTTTTTTCTCAACATGCCACAACTTAGGCTATTGACTTGAAATTAAAACAGAAGATGTTGTTGGTGCATGTCCTGCTATCTGTATTTCATTGTGATTTTGATTCTCTCTCTTTCAGTTCCGAACCTTTGACCCATGTAAACAGCTGTGGTGTAGCCATCCTGATAACCCCTACTTCTGTAAGACTAAAAAGGGACCCCCACTTGATGGGACTGAATGTGCTGCTGGAAAAGTGAGTCTATACTATGGAGATTTAATCACCTTTCAAAGTCTGAAAAATGATGAACATAACTGTATTGTCATTTTTATGAGGACCATAGCACGTAAGGTTTCATTATGGTAATGTACTAACATTATATAGTAGCTTCCAACGACCGCTCTAACAAATTACCATAAGCTCAGTGGCTTAAAATAACAGAAATGTATTTCCTCACAGTTTCACTGTGGGCAGGACCATCCTCTCTCCAGAAGCTGTAGTAGAGAGTCTGTTGTTGCCTCTTCCTCCAGTGGCTGCCCACATTCCTCGACTTGTGGCTGCACCATCCCAATCTCCAACTTCTAACCACATGACCACATTGCTCCCTTCTCTTCTTCTGTGTGCAAATGTCCCTCTGTCCCTCTCTTATGAGGATGGCTACACATGGTGACATTTAGGGCCCACCTGGATAATGCAGGATAGCCTCCCCTCAAAGTCCTTAATTTTATCACACCTTCAAAAGACTCTTTTCCAAATAAGGTAATATCTGCAGATCCTAGGGCCTGAGATCTTTGGGACTATTCAACCCACTACTGATAGATTATGAAGCAGCAGCTCAGCAGACTATCTGGGACCCTGCTAATAGGATTTGATGTACTTGTTGGCTTCCCACTCCTTGTGAAACTTGTCCAGAAATAAAGTCCTGTGAATTTGTACAGAAGATTTGTCCTTGCTCCTTTGGGGAAAGATGCCCAGAGGTTTTAAATCTCAAATTGTGTAGTCAGGATTGAATGCTCAGAAACTGGCCAAGCGCCAAGCTACCCTACTCATAAGGGGAGAGATCACCCATTCCAGAACAAAGGCATCTTAAGAACTCAAGTTGAAGTGCCTTTACTAGTTTGGAAATAAGATATGGTAGACGGGACCAAAAGCTGGCAAAGAAGATTCATAAAGCTTTTAGTTCTTTTAATGCCCTTTAAAGCTCTATTGCAAATGTGTATAAACTGTACTTGCAATGAGGATTACAAGCATAATAATAATAATAATAATAATAATAATAATAATAAACCTGCCATTATTCGTGTTTAAACTTTGTTCGGCACTATGCCAAACACATTATATATGGTGTGCCACTGTGGGGAAATGTAGTATTACAAACTTTGACTAAAAACACAAGAGCAACAGTGAGTTGATTCATTTTTGTTTTATGAAAAAGATATCCTCCAAATAAACTCCAAACATCCAACTTCTTGAAACTCACTTGTGTTATATTCAAATTTACCAGAGTTGAGTTTTAAGAAACACTTTTATTGTGGGATAAAAAAGCAAGTCAGAATGTTGGAAGGGGAAAGAACACCTTCTGAGCACGTGCTGTGTGCCGGGCACTGCCAGGTAGGTGCCTCCATGCTATCAGGGATCTAGCAGTTCCCATGTCGTTACTTACTGGTCAGATGATCTCATATTACTCATGATCCTTTCCAGGTTCCAGTTTTCCACATTATCTACTATGCAAATCAGGTATCATTTTTATTGGTCATGTTTGATACTCACCATAAATGTATCATATAAAACTTCTTCAGAATGAATTATTTTTTTCATTGCAATTTTATACTTAAGAACATACTAGTAAGTCTGAATTACTCTTTGTATAGGGAACCTTATTGTTATAACTAGTGGCCCAGTGCAGGGATTCGTGCACATTGAAAGGAAATTAATTAGAAGAAATATTTTAATATTGTTATTCACCCTTTCTCTATGATAGAAGTGTCAGAGATGAAAGAAAATCAGTAAAATGTATGTGAAAATAATATATAAATGATTAAAAAATAAACAATAACAACATGATATAAGAACAACAAAGATGTGATATAAAAAGAACAAAAACATGATATAAAAACAACATTGATAAAAACAATGACTGATAAATTGATTAAACTTATTCTAACACTGAGGCCAGTGTCAGACGGGGACAAATCAATTCTTGGAATCAGAACAACCTCTACTCCGCAGATTTTGTTAATACTTCAGCTTCAATTATGTTAGGTCACAATCTTTTGATAATAAATTTAGTACCATTATAAAAACCCCATTTACTATTAAGATTTCTCAGTAGCATGATGATTGCACCTACTTTCAATTCTAATTTATGACATGGGATTCCCAAAGGAATAACACTTTTGAGAAATTTGATGGGAAATTTTTCCTTTTTGGCATCATCCAATGAATCTAGTATTATTGTCTATTACATTGTCATCTCTGAGTCTTAATGCAATATCCATTCCCCAGCCTTTTTCACCATGTGGGAAACGAATAGGATATACCAGTGCATCTAATATAGGAAACAGGATACTGATTTGTTTCATTTGAGTTATTATTGGGATTCGGATTATTGGGATCTGGTTTACAATGAATAAGTCCCTTTCAAAAGGAGGTCCTCCATCTTCGTTTCTGAATATGACAGCAACTTCAGTTACACAGGGATAATTATATCTATCCGGATCACTATTATGATCATATTTAATCACCATTGTTACTTCCATGTGACGACGCCACTTTCTTTCAGCTTCAGAATGTCAACAAAAACAACCAAATTCACAATAGACAATGACAGATCGAAACACACATGTGCAATTGGCGCCAGCGAGAGGTTTATATGTATTGTGCATGCTTGAGTCAACTTAGCCTTTCATAGATATAGAATAAACTTGCCTAATTAGACCCGCTTTCTGATGTAGCTAAACTTTTTCCAGACCAGTGAAGCACCCAACTTCTTTTTCAGGTAATTGTCAGCAACACAGCAGTAAATATCAACACAAAGCAGATTATTATTGTAGATCATGCAGGGAGAACAAAGGGTAAAATATTTAACTGCAGCAGTGTTTGACTATATTCTGTGCAGTGAGAAAAACTGAAGTTATTTTCAAGGTCTACCATTTCTTCCTTTTTAGTTGGGTCAAATTTCTGAGCTTTCTAAATCTCCATTTTCTGGCTAATGAAAAGAAAATAGGATTCCACTGAGTCTCCTATCTACCTACTCCAGGAATTTTGTGAGGATCAAATGAGATGAGGCACCTAAAAACGCTTCATAGACATTTGGTTAAACTGTGAAATGTTTGCACCTGGCTATAAAGCAAGTCGTGTTCCTGGGCTGAAGAAACTCCAAGGAGCTAGTCGCTAGGGAGAGGCAGCTGGGCGTTGCTATGTGACATCATTACCCGGACAGTTGGACACAGCATATTAGCCTTTTGTATATATAGATTGCTTTGGGGTCATTGTAAATACATTTCCCTTGGTGGGGGTTGGAGGAATGAAGCCCTTTCATTGGTGGTTCTTATATAACAACTTTAGCATATGCATAATTTTCACAATTGCCCTTTGTCATTTTCCTAAGTGGTGCTACAAGGGCCATTGTATGTGGAAGAATGCTAATCAACAAAAACAAGATGGCAATTGGGGGTCATGGACCAAATTTGGCTCCTGTTCCCGGACGTGTGGAACTGGTGTTCGTTTCAGAACACGCCAGTGCAACAATCCAATGTGAGTATGACCCCTGTAATTCTGTCACTTTTGTAAAGGCCAGAAAATGCTTCAACATAATGTTATTACTATTTCGTAAAGTACATGTAAAATACGGAGCATGAAAACTAAGGCTTAAGTGTCTGTTTTGGATAAATCTCCATTTATCAATTTTGTGAACTATAATCAGTGGTTAAGGTGAGAGGTTCGAATGAAGATGAAAGATTTTGAGGAAATTGCTGTTTAGGAATATTAAAGAGTTGAGTAGGGAAGCCCATCACTGTGTTCTGAGGGCCTGGGCACCAAGGCCGTGAGACCCACTGTAAGAAGTGCTGGTGTGTCATGGTGGCAGTAGCACCAAACACATGCTTACTCATTTGGATTAGAAGGGGGATGCTTCAGGGCAGGGCAACAACAAAATAAAGATGGTAGAAGAAGGCCAAAGAACTGTTTGGGGAAAGTTATCAATTTATTCACTCAAACTAAATTGATTGAATTCCTATTGCGTACTGAAGAAAATTTATTTTCTAAGGGGAAAAATAACCAAAATATTAACCTTAGGACATTCTTCCTTGCCTAGGGCTTAAAATGTGAGCAGCCCTGTGTGTCTGGCAGCAGATGGCTCTGAACATGTCTTTTATAAACACTGAAGTTACATACATGTCTTCACAGGAAGAGATGATGGTAGTAGAAAAAAAAACAATAAAAATTACAGTAGTAAGAACAGCTAAGTTACACTATGAGCCACACTCTGTTCTAAGTGTTTCAAATATGTTCATGCATTCAATCCTCTCAATATTTCTCTAAGGAAGAAAAGACGGGAAACTGAGGCATAGAGCAGTGGTCACAGTCACTTTGGGCTGCATCTACATGTTTTATGCATGGTAGAAAATAAAAATTTTTCGAGTTCACATCTATGTTTTTATTTCTTTATAGATTTTTGCCATGCATTTAAAATACACTGTCTGAAAAGCCACTTGAAGTTGACTTTTGGGCCCCCTCCCTGCCCCCAGAGGGAGAGGATGGTGCTTTTGGAAAGGAATTGCAATTAGGAAGTATGAGTTCATTCACTTGGTGCTGGCAGCTCAGAAACTCTGGCTTTCTGCCCTCCCTAGAGCACTGTGTCTGCAAGCTTTCACTGCTGGGCCAGAGCCAAAAGGCCTTTTTAAATGTTGTCTTTTCTTTAGGCCCATCAATGGTGGTCAGGATTGTCCGGGTGTTAATTTTGAGTACCAGCTTTGTAATACAGATGAATGCCCAAAGCACTTTGAAGACTTCAGAGCACAGCAGTGCCAGCAGCGTAACTCCCACTTTGAATACCAGAACAGCAAACACCACTGGATGCCCTATGAACATCCTGACTGTGAGTAGATGCCTGCCCTTTCCCCGCTGTGTGGTTGGTTACTTAGAGTTTATGCTTTGTCTACACCAATCCCTTGGACTCTTGATCCCTATGTGGTAACTTAGAAACCGTGGTGCTTACAGGGGTAAGTCCTTCTGGGTTTCCAAGAATAAGGTTAACGTCCTCCTTTCTCTAGAGAGGTGAGACTTGTGGAATAGTTCCTGGCAAGTAGCACTACCGCCATCACTACTGAAAGGACCAGTGGAATGCAGACAAAATGAAAAGCCTCAAGAGATGTCGAGTTTCCTCATTCAACGGAAATCCCTCTACTAGGAAACACTTTTGGAATTTTGTTATCTGTCCTTTCTGAATAATTAGAGGGAAATACTGTTCTTTCACAGTGGGGTCAGGAGTAAGAATAAGACCAGTATTTAATAACAACAGAAACTTCCTAACCTTTTTACTTTTGTACTATACACCGGTTTTTGAAAAATACACTTGGGAACTCCCTTTTAACGTTTCACTTCTTACCCTTGAATTTTCAGTTACTTTTGTGTTCAAATGGAAACTTCTCACCATATTTCTTACTTGGGTGAATATAAGAAAATAATTACTTGATTATCATGTGGTATAGGGCACTGCTGAGTTCAGGTGAAAAGCTGTTTTAAAAGAAAGATGCATCCATGTAGGAATTAAAAGTTGGAGTTAAGAAGAAATGCATTATTATTTTTTCATTATATTAAATTTAATTGAGATTATACAAAGGCAAAAGGTGTACTAGGTCATTGGGTTAAATGAAAGAGAAACCCTTTTTGGCGCTGTCAGCACCACTGAAATCAAAGTGGTTCTGATTTAAAGCATTTGAAGAGCCTTGGTTAAATCCAGGATTGCTGCACAACCTAATTTGCTGAGATAGTTCCAGTTTAGACCTGTTGTCCCTGTGTAGTTACTAATAGAGCCCTTTTTCACTCTCAAGAGTATCCCAGTTTAGATGTTAAATCATATGGTCACCCTGGTTGAAACAAATACGTTAAATATGTGTAATTTCTTCTTCTCTTTATTTTACTTATTTATACCTTTTTTTGTTTGTTTTCGGGAAATCATGTTGAAACTTTATATTTAAAAAATAAAATAAACTATGCTGTTCAAATATACCACTTTACATAGATGATTTAATCCTCCATCTCATGCAGCCAAGAAAAGATGCCACCTTTACTGTCAATCCAAAGAGACTGGCGATGTTGCCTACATGAAACAGCTGGTACACGATGGGACGCGCTGTTCCTACAAAGACCCGTACAGCATATGTGTGCGAGGAGAGTGTGTGGTGAGCTCCCTGCAATATACTGCAATTCTACTGTTACTGTCTTTCATCTGCATATTTTCAGAATGTTTAAACCACTTCATATCTGGGACATCACATTATGATGTAAATGTATGCATAGCTCATTAGCGAGACTAAGTCTGGGAGAAACTGCACTTAATAAAATCAAACTTTGCTCACTGGCCGAATCAAGACTTAACTGTAGTCGTCCCAGTTTCCAGCCAAATCCTTTTCCTAGTCACTCTGATGTCTGTAGGTTGGGAATACAACATGGGAGCAATGCCTTTGCTTTGAGTTTTTGACTAGTAGCGATCTGCTGCTAAAGTACACTTTTTTAAAAAAATTCAATGCTTAATGTACTTTATATTTTGTTTAAGAGATAATAGAAACTTTTCTTGGAACAAAAATAGCGAAGATGCAAAAACTATTTTTTGGCCCCATTTAATTTCTTTTTTAAAGGCAGTTTTTTCTTACTCATGTTCATATATCATGCTAAATTGATAGGGGACTATCGTTATTAACTGAACACATTGCTCCTGTTTGATTTCTTTTCACTTCAGAACAACTAGTGTTATATTAATGAATCTTACATGCACAGGTGCCTCATAGTTGATCTGAATTTTCCCTGAAAGTAAAATCTGTGTTTGGTCATCTTTCACCTCCTCCATGTCTCGCACATCAATGGATGTGTGATAATTATTTCTTCTGTCCACTTTCACCTCAAACTTACGAGTGCTGTGGCATGCCACATATTCTTATCCTACACTGATTTACCTTAGGAGCTGCCCCAGCTCCGAATTTTTACCTTCAGTAATTCCCAGTTACGTTAATGTGAAAATGTAAACACTCAAGGCCTTGCACAGCCTGTGCTTTGCACCATCTTCCCATTGGTGTAAATATGGCTAAATATTGTTCTCTGAACCCACTTTATGTGAACACACAATTTCCATGGCTCTGTTTGAATCCCTCCACATTCCTAAAATCTATTTCCACAAACTCGATTCCTTCAGGGCCTGTGAATGTCTCTACCACTTTGGGAAAGTTTTGTCTTCCGTTCCTAGCCAACTTGTAAAGCTTGTACTAATGTACAACTCACAGTTTCATTATTCATCTTTATAATATGAGAGCAGCCAGGGAAACTCACCAACTTTTCGTCTCCTCAGTATCTACTACAACATTTGTGCTTAATACATGTTTGATGGTGATGATGACTGTGTATGATGGTCATTAGACGGGGGGAAGTTTATCTGGAGTACTAGTCATTTGATTGCACAGTAGTTCTTTTAAAAGACTGAGGTATTTAAATCAGAGCCAGTAAAAAAGTTTGGTGTAAGTGGCTTACCTGTGGGTTCCTGATTAAACAGTCATCATTCTCTAGGATACGGACCTTGACTTGACACATTAAAATTAGCCACATTTCACTTCTTCTCTCCCCAGAAAGTGGGCTGTGATAAAGAAATTGGTTCTAACAAGGTTGAGGATAAGTGTGGTGTCTGTGGAGGAGATAATTCTCATTGTCAAACCGTGAAGGGGACCTTTACCAGAACTCCCAGGAAGCTTGGTAAGATGAGGCCTCTGATGGATTTAGTATCCTTCTCTATGATTTGTATTTTTTGAGAATTCGTTTAAGAACGCAGCATTTTCTCTATAAACATAATAAAACATTAGCTGCTGATTTATTTTTATTCAGGTAACCTTTTAAGGAAATATTTTAAAAAACTTTTCATGCTCCATAGCATTTATGATAAAAAATTATCTACTAAATTTTGATAAGGAACAAGTAAAATCACTATCAATTATAGTAGTTAGCTAAAATCTGTTTCGTTTTATTTTGCTTTTAATAAAATGCATTAGATCTAATAAAATTGATGCTTATTTTGAACTTTCTATTGTACATAAATTGTTAGAACATAAAAAAATCACAAAACTTTAGATACGATTTAAAATATTACATTAATTTTACTTCTTTTACTTTAAAAGTGAACAGGTTTTTTCTATTTTTAAGTCTATAAATCTAGGGTCCATATATCATATATTTTTATAATTTCATATTAAACAAAATTGAGGTACAAACAAAAATAACCTATGGTATTATTGCTTGTGCATGTGAACTTTTGTGCTTGTTATATAATTAATGACCTGGTCTTAGGCATATGATATGGTAAATTTCAACAGGTGAAACAAAAACATAAAGAATATAAAAAGATATTAGTAGTCTCATAATTATCCATTGGAATTTTCATAAAAAAATTAGATGCAAACACTTATTACAAATTTTTTTTTAGTTTATAACAAATATTTTGTTATTCAATAAGTATTTATTAGGCAAATATTTCTGATAATTTGACATTTAAAAATAAATTTGATGTGGTGCTTCCCTTGAGAAACTTCTCTTATATCATCCAAAATAACACAAAACGATTTGGTGTACTTTAAGCATATGTTGTGGTGGTAATTTAAGAGAAAAGAAATTATAAAAAAGTTGGTCTTCATCCAAATGAAATAATTCTCTTAGTTCTTTTTATTCTCATTATACATCAGCTACCCAACTCAAGTCAATTCCACACATCCCTGCTTTGCTCTGATATACTGAGGGTGGCAGAGCTGACTTAACTCCAGTGTGTTTCCTTAGGCATTCTTTATTGATGTCTTTGTTATTCCTGTGAGATAATTTACTATGTTTTGTACCTTGAACATTGTTAAAAAGCAATATTGCCTTCTTGCTGATTATATTATTTTAATAAAGCAAACAGAATTAGAATGTTATATATAAAAATAAATAATGGGTTGGTGGAGTAAAATGTAATTTTCTCCATCTTATGAAGTGATTTACTGCAGTTATATATTATTATTTTAAGTGTAAAATAATTCATCTTGTTTTCTTTCCAGAGTGAATTAATGTAATGAAATTTTTTTGGACTCATTTATTCTATATATTGTGTTAATATGAGCTAGTGATACTTTTTTGCAGACACCTCAAAAATTATGCTAAACCTGTGAATCAAGGTCAGAAGAAAAGAAGAAAGCTTTCATCAGCCATACAGATTCAAACTGTCCAAAGATAATCTAACATCCACTTCTTTGCCCTAAGGCTGTGATAGTCATTCAATAGACTAATTAACCTTTTCCAACAGGGAAACATTTAAGCAAGCGGTGCCATACAGAATTCGAGTTGCTGGGAAATGAAATCTGCAAGTATTCACCTTCAAATCACCTATATCATTTTTCATTCATGCTCAGTCTTACTTTCATTGACTATTAACAGTTTATTGGCATTAGCTAACTATTGTATATGCGTTTTGACTTCAACATATAAAATTACAGAACATATTTTTAACTTACCTAATAATATATATACATATATATAGCTTATCATATAGTCAATGAAACAGCAAGACTTTGATAAACACGAAACCTCCACTAATTAAAGACATTCTATTTAAGGGAAGACAAGAGGCGCCTTCACTTTACCCAAAAGAGCTCGTAATGTTTCTCTTGCTGAAACAAGGGAAGCTAAAAATGTACTGGGTAAGTTGTCGCACGCTGCAGAAAGATGGGCATCCATAAATGGAATCAAGCTGTTTTGCTGTCCTTGGCATCTGAAGCATGTTACTCGTAGCCATTGCACACTCAGGCAAACATGGTACTTTTCTTGAACTGGACTTTCCTTGGCTCAGGTGCTGAAACCCTGACCCCAAAATTACTATTCCATTAGTTAAACCACTAATGAATAATGTGAAAAGTTGGATCAATCTACCCATAGGTAGATGATAATTGTCCATATACAAATGGAAACATATTTCTTTCCAAGTCCATCAGTAGTTGTGTATTTATAACTGAACTACAGGCTCAGTGCATGAAATTCATGCAAGGGCCTTGGCCCCAGCCTCGGCCACTGCGGCTTTGTCCAGAAGGAAGGAAGTCCAGAAGGACATCTGGTTTAATTAGCATATTATGCTTTTATTATTATAGATTTCTTTAGAATAAGGCAGGATTTTAAATATGAAGATAACTTATTAATTAGAAGTTCAGCGATCTGTACTCACTGCTTAGACTTTTGAAATAATATAGAGGTTGATAAAATATTTTCGGAAGTTCAACTAAATACTCTAAAAATTAGCCGCACTTCAAAAGTGTGGTTTACAAAACTAAAATCACCATAGAGGGACACAGGAAAGTATAGAATTTGCCTGAATTGTTGACACAATTCACAGGTCAACACAAGATAAATGGCTAGTAGTTTAGAAACAAGGTCAACTCTTTTCTTCCTCTTTAATTAAAAAAAGGGAGTGTAGCCCCTAATCTCATGCCAGATGTCACACAAGCTACCAGTGCTTTGAAGTTAATTTCTGAAACTGCTTCTTTCAGTTCATGTATGCCCTCTTCTGCGTGCAGGAACAGTGAGAACGGAATGCTCAGCTAACCAAGGTTGTCGCTTTTGTTTTCTCCTTTGCTTCCTACAAAATTTACTACACATGCAAAGGGTACCTTAAGATGTTTGATATACCCCCTGGTGCTAGACATGTGTTAATCCAAGAAGACGAGGCTTCTCCTCATATTCTTGGTAAGTGTTTCTGTCCACTGGCTCTGCTTTAACATGCATTTAAACATGGAACTGTCAAAGATATATCTATATCTATATATGTATATGTATATGTATATCTATATAATCTACATATAGATATATATAGATATTTATGTCTATAGATGTATATATATACATATATACATATATACACATATATATACACACACATATATACATACACATAGATATGCATGATTGAAGTTATATATAAATGCATTATTGTGTGATTTTGTTGGTCATTTCTCCCAACTACTCTTCCTTTAAAAAAAGAAATATTAAAAAATGGAGATTTAATTTTTGTTGAACCTTGATTGGTTCATTATTTCATGAAGAAAGAAAAACCATCTGGCAGATTTGTACATGTGCATTTTCGCTCTGCATTAGGGGATAAGAAAAAATAAATATGTTAAAATGCATTAAAGTAAGGAATAATATCAGAAAAATTTGCCATATTTATTTTGACAAATTAGTTCTGATATTTTGGTTGATGCTATACTGTATGCCTCTCCTTAATTTTATTGCATTTTAAGTTTTTTGACTGAAAAGCAACCACATGTAAACTTTACTAGTCTAATAAAAATTTTCCCACCATCTGTTCTGTGTCCAGTTTCTGGCTGGTACATGCAGATCCCTTTGCATGGCTGTTTGTAATTTCCTAAAGAAGATTCTTTTGAATAACTTGAAAGAGATACACAGTAATAAATAAACCATTATGTTATAATAAGCCATTATATGCTGAACTAACATACATGATTTATATTAATTATTATAGAAGTATCCATTATTTTCAAAGTATTTCCAGGTTTCTGAAGAAATGTCTAGGATTGAGTGAGTTTGAAACTGTTAACCTCTTTGACAGTGTTTTCAAATGGGAACATTTCCCAGTTTTTATCTTCTGTGTAACCTTCTTGCTATTGTTTTTGACTAGTTAGAAATCCTTCTTGGGGATTTTAAATGCCTAATGAAGGAAAAGGGACTCAGAGCAGAACTAACACTCAGTTTGACTTGTTTGATGCTAATAAACACAGTCTTTGACTCATAGAAGGGGGTAGATAGACTTAATAGGGATCATCAAAGCCACAATCTGATAAAATAAAATGTCTGCTGGTTACTCATTTTCCTTCCTTTAGCTATTAAGAACCAGGCTACAGGCCACTATATTTTAAATGGCAAAGGGGAAGAAGCCAAGTCACGGACCTTCATTGATCTTGGTGTGGAATGGGATTATAATATTGAAGATGACATTGAAACTCTTCACACAGATGGACCTCTGCATGATCCTGTTATTGTTTTGGTATGTGGCATTGCAGGCTCTCTAGGTGTAGTTGATTTCGCTGTAATTTTCTTATTTATGTATCTGAAAGCACTTTTATCTTGAACATTGAATATTTAGTTGCTTGTTTTTTTTATAATTCCATTTATCTGCTTCTTTCCACTCTTTGACAACTTTGCCATATATTTTATTATATAATTATATGTACAGTATAAACCCAATAACACAGTATTATGATTTTTTGCTTGAGTAATCAAGACAAGAAAATATATATTTACCATTTCCAACATTCTTCATTTTTTCTTGTAAGTCTGACTTTCCACCAGGGATCATACACTTTCAATATAAAGAACTTTCCTTAACATTTCTTGTAGTGTGGGTATGTGTCCTGGCAAAGAATTCTCTCAACCTTCAATTATCTGAAAATATCTTTATTTCACCCTTGTTCTTAAAGGATATGTTTACTAGATACAAACTTGTTGGTTGCTAGTTTGTCTTTCTCTTTCAGTGCTTTGAAGATGTTTTTACAATGTTGCAGGGAGTTCCAGGAATGTCAGGGCTGATCAAGGATATGACTATGAGGTGGCAGTAACATACACAAGCTTTACTGGTGACACCTTAGCAGGTTTGCCTGTAGGGCCACCATCCAATAGGGAAGAAAAGAACTTCCATGAGAGAAGAGGGTGGAGAGGGGCTTTATGTAGCTAGGTGATATCGCTCAGCAGCACAGGGGGAGCCTCTGGGTCTGAGTGCTCCCAGGGGCAGCAGCAGCAGCTTGGGATCCTTATAGCCCCAGTTTCATGTATAGTTAGCAGATATTGGATACAGTTTCATATGGGTCTGCAAAGCAAGCTACCTCTAATGGCTAACAACAAGCTTGTTTGGGCTACATTTAAAACAACTGTATATAAAATTTTGGGTTTGCTGCTAGCAGGCTTTTAAGCTAAAGAGGCTCAGCCTGTGGTGAAGGACTAGACAACCTCAGGGCCAATAGACAGGGGCCATCTTTGACTCATTCGTGTAATGTCTGTCTTCTAGAATCCATAATTTCTGATGAGAAGTAGCCTCATTTATATTGCTGCTCTATACATAAAGTGTCCATTTTCTCAGGCTACTTTTTAAGATTTTTTCTTTGTCATTTTGCTTTGTTTAATAGTTTGTTTATGCTTAGTTTGTGACCTTCTTTGTTATGTATCAGGCTTGGGATTCACCAAGCATCTTGGCTCTGAAAGTTGAAGTTTTTCACCAATTTTGGATTAGTTTACCATTATGTGTTCAAGTTTGTTTGCCCCCCTCCCCACCCCCAGCCTAGTCATTTCTCTACTCCTAGGACTCATTTACATGTATGTTAAACCAGCTGAAATTATTCCAGAAGTCTCTCAGGCTTTGGTTATGCTGTATGATCTTTTATTCTCTGTTCTTCAGATTGGAGAGTTTCTGTTGCGCTGTGTTCAGGCTCACTGACTGTGTCTTATGTGGTCTCCAATCTGTTGTTGAGTTCATCCAGTAAATTTTTCATGTCAGATGCTGGTGTGCTTTTCTTTTCTAGAATTTCCATTTTCTCCCCAGGAGTCATTTCTGCTTCTCCGCTGAGATTTCTGTATATTTCCACTCATTTTGTCTAATTTTTCCTTTAAGTCCTGCATCTTCACGTTGTCTGCTTCTATGGACTGATTTTTTTAATGAGTCATTTTCCCGCTTCAACAGTCTTTTTTGTTATACACTGGACATGATAGATGGTGAGTTGTAGGGCCTTTGGTTTATGTCACCTTCCTTATAGGAGTTGGGTTTATCCTAGCTGGCAGACAGTCAGTTCCCTCTGATCCTAGGGCCCTGGTTTATTCTTCATTACAGCTGAGCTTTTTCATTTTGTCCTTATTTTTATGACTTGGCATTTTTGGCGCATTAACTCAACACCTGGGGGTTGATGAGGCCTCTTGACCCTGGCTGGATAAGAACTCCCAGGTCTCTCAGCTCCATCTGACTCTGAGCACCTCTGTCTTGTTCCCAGGCCCGCAGCAGCCACTCATTAGTAGGTGGTGTGGTGTCTTGGCCCCGGGCATGCACAGACCAGCCCTCAGCCTGGGACTTATGCATCCTCTGAGCCACCCCTCCATGCAGCCCCCTGTTCTTTAGTGCTCTCCTTTGCAAGTTCCATAGTCTTCTCTCTGTCCCCTCAGCTCAGTGAGAATGCCGTCTTGGCTGGAGTTCAGCAACCTGTGCCAGGGGCCAGACCTGGCTCTGTCAGGAAGCCAGGACCTGGCACTTTTCTCTTCTCACAGGGATCATTGTCCTTTGCTATTATTCACTGTCTCCCCCCACAAATTTCCCTCCTGTAATTCTGTCCAGTTTTATTGCTTTTAATGTCAGGAAGGTACCTCTATTACTCCCACATGGATGAAAGCAGAAGACATCTACTCGATTGGAAAAACAGTGTTGCATTCTGTGTACAAATATTTATTAGACTATAACAAATATTGCACTAATCTAAAACCAAATCTTCCCACTCAATCCCAAGGGTTTGTTTTTCCTTTGGAAATTATTTCCCTTTGGTAAAGTGCCTGTTCAAATCGTTTGCCTATTGCTAAAGTAGTTATTTTTTTGTTGAGTTTTAAGAGTTGTTTATATATTCTTGATATAATAAGTCCTCTGTGAAATAAGTGATTTGCCAAATATTTCTTCTAGTCTATAATTTTTTTTTCCTTTCTCTTAGTCTTTCACAGAGCAAAATATTATATTTTAACTTTGCTGAGATCTTGTTTCTTTTATGGATCAAGATTTTGGTGTTAGTTGGGGTTTTTTTGTTGTTTGTTTTGTTTTATTTTGTTTTTGCCTAATCCAAGGTCAAAATGTTTTCTCTTTTTTGGTAACAGTTCTGTAGTTTTACATTTCACATTTAGTTTTATGAACCATTTTTAGTTAATTTTTACATAAATTTTGTGTGATATGTTAGGTTCTTACTTTGCATACAGATGTTTATATTATCTATTGCCCCATAACAAATTAACCCCAATTTAGTGTCTAAATACAAAGCAACATTCCTTGTCTCCTAGTTTCTGTGGATCAGGTATCTGGGAACTGATGAAATGGCTAGTTCTGGCTCAGGGTATCTCATGAGGTTGCTGTCAGCCGTGGCGAAGCATCTCGAGGCTTAGCAGCTCAGTCACATGGCTGTTGGGAGGCCTCAGAAGGTTACTCCTAAGCTATTCCTGTGGGGACTGGTGGGCCTGGGATGTTCGCCATTTAAGCCTATCCATAGGCTGCTTATGGGAGGTGTCCTCATCCCATGGCAGCTGGCTTCCACTAGAACAAGTGGTTCAGGTGACAGAGAAAGTGAAAGAGTACAACCAGAATCAGTCTTTTCTAACCTCATCTTAGAAGTGATATCCCCTCTTGTCTGCTGTTGTTTGTTTGCCAGAAGCAAGTCAGTGAGTCCAGCCCACATGGGAGGGGTGAGGATTTAAGCTGCATGTATGGAGAGGGAACGTACAAAGGATCTGTGGCCAGCATTTGAAGTCACCACAATGTCCAGTTGTTCCAGCACCATTTGTTCAAACAACAACAAAAAACAAACAAACCAGAAACTGTTATTTTTCAATTACATTGTCTTTTCACCTATGTCAAAAATTAATTATCTAAATGTATGTGGGTTTATTTTTGGACTATCATCCTGTTCCATGGGTTAGATGATTTTATAGCAAGATAAAGAATATTCAAAATCGTGTGAAGTTTGAATGATTGGAGATCAGAGCTCTATTTCACTTTTATGTAACTACACTGCATTCTTTTCCAGCCACACAGGTGTCTTGTCTCAGAGCCCTGCCATTTCACCTCCACGGTGGGTGGCCTCAAGGCTTTGCTCACTGATAGTAATGTGGACATAGGGATCAATGTGGGCTGGAGAGATAGGAGACCTATAGCTAGCCTAGAGGTTTGTGGACAAGCAGTGCTCTATCATCATGATCTTCCTTTCCTTCCCTAAAGGACTGGAACCCCAGCGAGGGAGCCCGAAACATGGGGGCTAGGTTGTCTGGGACTGAAAGCATTAGACATCTGGCTAGAGTGTAAGGGCCAGGGCATAGTTTTTAATGCTTTTTTAAAAACAAAGACTAGAAGGGGAAAAGAGAATAGAACTCAGATAACCCCAGCTTTGTAGCGATTTAGCATCCCTCGATTTCTCAAACAAAAGGTGTTTCTAAAAGTTTAGTTTAAAATACCAATGAATTATGAGTAGATAATAAAGCTGTGGTACCTTTACACAATGGAATAGTACTCAGCCTTAAAAAAGAAGGAATTCTTACCTTGTGTGACAGCATGGATGAACCTGGAGAGCATTATGCTAGTTGAAATAAGCCGGCCAGAGAAAGAGAAATATCACATGATCTCACTTATATGTGGAATCTAATGAACAAAATGAACAAGCAAAATAGGGACAGACTCATAGACAGAGAGCAAGCTGACAGCTGAGGGAGGGGAAGATTGAGCAAAAAAGAGAAAAAACTAGAAAAAAAAACAACTAAAAAAAAACCCCCATACCAATGAATTGCACATTTCTCCACTTGTATGATGCATCGTAAGTACATGAAAGTTAAATATTTATTTTTAAAAATAATTCTTTGCTCTAAACAAAATTAAAAAGCAAATTTAAAATTCCATATACTTGCAATGCTTATAAAAAGTTAATATCATTATTGCATAGATTATTTAGAAAAAAGATGTATACCAATTTCACAAAAAGAGGACATGATGTGAATATGCAATGTACAGCAGACAAGATTCACATGGCTACAAACAGGAAAATTAAACTTTACTATTTATTAAGTAAATAGCAACCAAAACAACAATCTTTTGCCCAGTTAATAAAGATAAAAACTATATAGTAGGTAGTGCTGAATTGGGGCACTTTCATATACTATCTGATTATGAAAGTAATGATTATTCTAACTATTCTCAGGTGTTTGTACTCTTTAGCCCCAAGTTACCATAAAGGTGGGGACAAATTCTAATCAATACAAATGTTTATGATAAGTAAATGGTTAAATAATGCGCATGACCTTTATATACACTGTGCTGACATTTAAAGTTACATTTTTAAATAATATTTACTATCTTGAGAAATGTGCATAATACATTTAGTGAAATAAGCAAGTCTAGAAAGTATGTGTGTACGTGCACATACACATAATATGAAACTATCTTGAGGGTATATCCTAAAATAATAGAAGTATTTCAGTTTTCTCTCGTTTAGTATAATTATGGATGATTTTTCCCCCTGTATTTTTCTATAATCTATATTTTCTGAAGGGAACTTTATTATTTTGCTCATCATAACAAAACACTTTAAAAATAATTTTTATTTTATTTTTTTACTTTTTAAAAATAATTTTTAAATGCACTAAGGAGATATATAATTTATGAAATTTACAGTGAATCTTATAAAATTATTATTTTTATAATACAAACTTTTACTCCTCAGTGTATGTATTTTTATATTTTTTATGGTCGAAGTTTTATATATTTAAAGTTTTGTGTGTGTGTGTTTTTTTTCTTAAACAGGGCACATTTGTACCTTAGTTGATTAAAATAAAAACATGTTTTTAGAAACAACTTGAAAGTCTTCCAGTTTCAATAGGAGCAATATTCTGAAATATTTATAATTTTTCATTCCTAATTTACAACTCTCAGGTGATTTACATATGTCTGTTTCCTGTGTGCGTTAGATTATACCTCAGGAGAATGATACCCGCTCTAGCCTTACATATAAGTACATCATCCATGAAGACTCCGCACCTACAATCAACAACAACAATGTCATCCAGGAAGAATTAGACACTTTTGAGTGGGCTTTGAAGAGCTGGTCTCAGTGTTCCAAACCCTGTGGTGGAGGTAACAGTTGACACATTTATAACTTTACTAAGCAGTTCATATTAAGCCAGTCTGCTTGCTTCTGCCTTAAGGATTATCTCTAATGGAGGCCATCATCTGAGAATACCACACAGAGCCAAAAGATAAATACAAAGCATTTTTCCCGAAATTGCAGAATCTACAAAGGGTAGGAATCCATTCATAAATGTAGACCTTCTTCAAATCCTCTTTCCCTTTCCCTCGAGTCCTTTCAGTCTCGTGTGATTTCAATAATCACTTTATTCTTCCCAGTCTCTCCCCAATTCAGTGTCCTCTGGTGCTCGCCTTCTGCACTTTTACTCTCCCTGCCTATGCATTTCTTTTCTATCAGTGTTAATCATAAAAGAGCTATCAGTTGTACTATGTACCAGGTACAGCTTTAAATGCTTTACGTGTTAATGCATGAATACGCACAGGCCTCTGTGAAGTTCCTTCTATTATCATGTCTGTTGTATTAATGGAGAAACCAAAGCACAGGGAAGATAAGTAATCCATAAGGTCAAACCCAGGAGGTCTGGCTTCTGAGTACATGCTCTTACTACATTATGCTGCCTCTCTGCCCTCCCTAACGTGAACCCATTAAGCTGTTCTCATGGGTTCTCCGATTCCCCCATTTCCCATTCCTCTTGTTCTCAACAGCAGTGCTCCAGAATCGGGCTGGCCAAGAAAATTCTCCCAACAGGCAGGAGAAGGCCAGGACCTCTCACAATAACGACACTGACTAATTGAAAACAAAAGATTATTAAACCATTTATTTTATCATTTTAAATTCAAGAATGCATTTCTAAAGTGTTTTTTGGGGGGCCGAGGGAGTAGGCATAAAGTGTTTTAGTTGCTTATGTAAAACAGCACTTTATTTATTATACAAAGTTTGTTTAATTTGGATCCTCCCTCCTGTTGCACCCTCCCTGCTGACTTGGTCACAGGATTTGTCATATACACCTTTTTAACATCTACATCTATTCCTTCCTCATTGGGCTTCCTTCACAATTTTGGAAGGGAAGATTGTTGCAAAAGTCTCTTAGGTGACTAACTTTTGATTTTCTTTTCTTCCTTTATTTGCAGGGTAATCTTTCTTGAATGAATGAGTGAATTAATTAATGTGTAGAATTATATTATTTCCTTGTTTCAAATCCTTTAGTCTCCTAATGCGTTGCCCTGAAATACAATATAACTTAGGTAGTATTCTTGCCAAAAGTGAATAACCTGAATCTGACCATTAGGAGACTATTAAATAAATCCAAATTGTGGGACATTTTACAAAACAGTTGGTGTGTACACCTCAAATATATTAAAGATAAAGAGTCTCAAAACTGTTCCTGATTAATTCCATGACAACTGAATGTCCTTGACTAGAAAAACATTGCAACACAGAACATAAAGGAACAATTGAAAATTTTGGGGTATGGACAATATATTCTATATATATAAAAAGCCATCGTCCGGAACTCCGTAACGACCAGAACAACCAGTCACTATGACACCCACTGCTGCCAGCAAACTAGCCTAATCGGGGGGTGTGGAGGGTGGTGCCAGCCGGCCAACCTCCCGTGGACCCTCCCCTGGGCCACCCACACCCCCAGTCAGCCCACCCACGCCAATCAGCCTGCAGCCCCTCCCCCTGGCCAGCCTCACCCCTGCTCACCCCCCCCAATAGGGGGCGGGGCCAGCCCAGCCAACCTCCTGCAGCCCCTCCCCCTGGCCGGCCCCACCCCCCAATGGTCCCCCACCACCCTGATCAGCCCACAGCCCCCTCCCACACCCGGCCCCACCCCAGATCAGCCCCCCCACCTCGATTAGGGGCAGGGCCGGCCAGCCAACCACCTGTGGCCCCTCCCCCCAGCAGCCCCATGCCTGATGGGCCCCCACCACCCCAATTCGACTGCAGCCCCTCCCTCTGGCTGGCCCTGCCCCTAGTTAGTCCCCCCACCCCATTTGGGGCTGGGGCTGGCCAGCCCACTGCCCACAGCCCCTCCCCATGACCAGCCCCACCCCCAATCAGCCTAGGGCCCCTCCTCCCAGCCAGCTCCACCCCAAATTGGCCTCTGACACACCAATTGGAAGTGGAGCTGGCAGGCCAACTTCCCATAGCCCTTCCCCCAGCTGCTGACCCCTGATCAGCCCCTCCACCCCAATCGAGGGCAGGACCCACCAGCCAATTGCCCATGACCTCTCCCCCTAGTTGGCCTGGCCCTGATTGGGCCCCCATCAGGTTGAGCCGGCTGGCCAACCTCCTGCCATCTCCTCCTTCTGACAGGCCCAGCCCCGATTCACCCCGATTGGGGCTGGACCAGCTGGACCCCACCTGTGCACGAATTCATGCACTGTGCCTCTAGTCTATACTAATAAAAGGGTAATATGCTAATTCGACTGGACATCTTCCAGACATCCTTCCAGACAAAGCCACGGGGCCCAAGACAGAGGTGGTTAGGGGCAATCAGGCCAGCAGGGGAGGGCAGTTAGGGGCGATCAGGCTGGCATGGGGGAGCAGTTAGGGAGCGATCAGACCGGCAGGGGGGAGCAGTTAGGGGACGATCAGGTCGGCAGGGGGGAGCAGTTAGGGAGTGATCAATGCTGGCAGGGAGGAGAAGTTAGGGGGTGATCAGGCCAGCAAGGGGAGCAGTTAGAGGGCAATCATCCTGGCCAAGAGCAGTTAGGGGGCGATCAGGCCGGCAGGGAGCAGTTAGGGTGCAATCAGGCCAGCAGGCAGAGGCAGTTAGGGGCTATAAGGCAGGCATGCAGGCGAGTGGTTAGGAGCCAGCAGTCCCGGATTGCGAGAGGGATGTCCCGGATTGGAGAGGGTGCAGGCCGGGCTGAGGCCCCCCCCTCCCCCATGCACAAATTTTGTGTACCAAACTCTAGTCTATATATATAAAAATCTAAGCAACTGTTACGACCGGTCACTATGACATGCACTGACCACCAGTGGGCAGATGCTTAATGCAGGAGCTGACCCCTGGTGGTCAGTGTGCTCCCACAGCCAACCTCCTGCAGCCAGCCAACCTCCTGCAGTCTTTTCCCCTAGCTGGCCGGCCCCAATTGGCCCCCATTGGGACTGGGCCAGATGGCCCCAATCAGCCACAATTACCTGCCAGGCCAAGGGACCCCATCCATGCATGAATTCATTCACCAGGCCTCTAGTTTTATAATAATATGTCTGCATTAAATATCCTGATTTTAAGAATTATAGTGTGGCTATGTAAGAAACTGTGCTTACTCCCAAATGGTTCAGCAAAATTTTACATATGTGTTATATAGTAATTATATGTAAGTAAATATTTGTATCTATCACAAATACAGTGGCATGGTAACACAAGGTTAATCTAGATACAAGGTATAGAAATGTTTATTGTGCTTTCCTTACAACTTCCTTTAGGTTTAAATTTTCAAAATAAATAATTATTTACAAATGTGAAAGTTGATGGTTGAAGAGACCTTTAATAACTCCCTGTGACCTTAAAAATAAACTCCAAACCTTTGTCTGGCAGTCAAGGCTTTTACATGGAGCCTTTCCTATCTCCCACTCCCTTCACATGTGAAACTTCAGTCATTCAAAGAGACCTGCCGTGTTCTCTAGGTTATTTCCTTGGCTTGGAGCAGGGGTCCTCAAACTACGGCCCGCGGGCCACATGCAAATACAAATATTGTATTTGTTCCCAAAGAAGTGCTGATCATGTAAGAAGGGGTTCCCTCCCCTTTTCCAGCTAAGTTAGAGACTTTCCCCTCTGCGTTGCTTTGGTGCCCCCTACAGTGCATTATGTACATAACTCTGTAAAAGCCTAGGTCACAAGGTTTTGTCACAGTGGTTTTCAAACTTGTCCGTAATAATAGAGTCTCTATATTCAGGGTTCAGTTTATTAGCAAATGTGCAGTTACTAATTAATAATTTGTAATATTTGTTAAATGTAGGCTCTGAAAAGAAGTTTTGTTTATTTAATTTACTTCTGGACCTTCAGCAACCAGAAAAGTGGCTGGTTTATTGTACGCATTCAGTAAATGTTTGTTGAATGGATAAGTGATTAAATACCAAGAAATGTATCTCCTTTCCCAGGTTTCCAGTACACTAAATACGGATGCCGTAGGAAAAGTGACAATAAAATGGTTCATCGCAGCTTCTGTGAAGTCAACAAAAAGCCGAAACCTATTAGAAGAATGTGCAATATTCAAGAGTGTACACATCCACTGTAAGTATTTATTTTAACTGCCATACCCTGAGGACAAAATAGTATGGATTTAAATGTCTTTAGCTCTTTTCAGTTTTGGTCAAAGCTAATACATGTATCTGGTTTAAATAGTCAAATCAATTCCCAGGAATTATGTGAAGCTGTGGTTCCCTGCTCTCTACCATATTCCTTCTTCTCAAAAATATATTTTTGTATTTGGTAAAAAATAAATACGTGTAGGCAGCTAGGGTCATCTCACCATTCCATATGTGGGTTTTCACATAACCCCATGTATTCACTATGGTTCCTTTCTCTATTGTCCGTTGACTGTATCTGTTGTCCACGAGTTAAAAGTCTGATTTACCTTCTGCAGAAGACAAAAAAAAAAAAGTCTTCTGCTGGGTTAGAGGAGGAGCAGTCACCCAGCGAAGTCAAAAATTAGGAGGCCTCCCTGCCTCCCAGTAGACTTTCCATCAGTCCCTGTTTTCAGCCCTGCCATCACCCGCACTTCACCTGAGGCTGTAAGCTCTCGGTTTCTGAAATTCTGCATCATCCGTTTGTTAGCTCCTACTGCTGACTTAAACGTCATTCTTCTTATGTCTACAAACTACTCCCTAGGTTCCAAAATTATCTTGTGGCGGCTTCTTTTCAATTTTTTTTCTTTTGGCCTTTGTGCTATTTTTCTCATTCGTCGTCATTCTAGGAGTTTCAAGATGGAATAAGGTAACCATAATTGTCTATGATAGGAAGTGTATGTTTCTCAAGTAATTCCTGTCTTCAGATGAGAGTCACTACTGAGGCCTTCAAAATGGGTTGCCAGAATACATTGTACTGCCTACTTGATGAGCTAGAGCTATCTTAAACTGCTAATACCAAAGACTGAAAGGTTTTAGCGTGGTTGTATTTTGGAGCCCCGTATATATGAAAAAATAAATAAATTTCAGAGGAAAAGTAACTTTAGAAAGGCTAAATAGTATGCCTCAATTACATTCTGACAGATTGATGAAGCAGATGGAATTGACAGTCACAGCCCTGGGGAACCACATGTAATGGGGAACTGTCTGTAATATTGTACACACAGCTGATTTGGAGGGTACTGTGGGCATTGACATTGACACTAGAATTTGGAAATGTCCCATGGGAAATCTTTTTGAAAATATTTTGGAAATATTTCTTTCAGGTGCATTCAAGCCCTGGATGGCCACTGCCTTTACATTTTTGTCAGACCCATTAAGGTCCAACATGAAAAACTGAATTTTCTAAACAGAATAGATACGTCAGGCAATCTTCATGGCAACGATTGTAGAAATAAAAGTCATCTCCGAAAATGAAAAATGAATAAATTCATGGTTTCATGGAAAAAGCAACAGCAGCCAAATAAATTTGTGTTAGCAAGCATAGGGTGGATTCCTGTTTTTATAATTTCCTTTCAGATCTTTAACACCATTAGGCAGTATGGCTGAGAGTGAGTTGGTATTATTTTGTAAACTGCCATCGTATCTAAACCTAACTAGGTATCCTCAAGATGAGTTTCAGAAACCTTCTGTTGGTCATCCTTTAGGAACGGACAAAGTTTCAGAATCATTGGGAGGCAGAAAAATACTAAGCCATTCAAAAATAGAAGTGTCGGGCCTATCATTGTTAGAAAGTTCTAAGACTTTTTTTAATTGTTCAATGCACCCCTCTCTCTGAAAGTGCTTCCTGTACTACCATGGGCCCCACTGGGTTGCACATCACTCGGAGAGCAGGGAGGTGCACATTCTACACCCCAGTGACCATGTTCACTTCACCCCCACACCCACAGCTGGATAGCGGAAGAGTGGGAGCATTGCACCAAAACCTGTGGGAGTTCCGGCTACCAGCTTCGCACTGTGCGCTGCCTTCAGCCCCTCCATGATGGCACCAACCGCTCTGTGCACAGCAAGTACTGTGTGGGTGACCGCCCCGAGAGCCGCCGGCCTTGTAACAGAGTGCCCTGCCCAGCCCAGTGGAAAACGGGGCCCTGGAGTGAGGTGGGTGTGTGAGTTCTGCATGCACGTGTGTGTGCATAAGATAGGAAGCCTATTTTCATCTGGCTTCAATATCAGGCAGGCCTTGTGTGAATTGAGAAACTTGCATATTTTAAAATCATTAAGCACCTGGAGGTGTTTGAAAATTTAATATTTTAAAGCAGTGTTTGCATTTAAGTTTAGTTGGTTGAGGCAAACCGTGTCTGGGTGTTTTGTGACGTAGAGGAGTCTAAAGGTGACTGATCTTCTGTTTAATATATTTGTTGACTTCACCATCCTTATGGGTTAATTCCAAACCCCTGACACCGAATGCAGGTCCCTGCCCCATTTGGCATCACACTAACCTTTTTTTTTTAATTGAGGTGTAATTAACACAACATTATATTAGTTTCAGGTGTACAATATAAGGATTCAATATCTGTATATATTGCAAAATGATCACCACAAGAAGTTCTACACTGACTCTTCTTATTTTTGCTTTATTCCAACTCTTTGACTCAGTTTGAGTAAAATTCCCACTGTTCCAAAAAGACTGTTCTGGGTAGAACATCCTACCTTTTGTGGGTCGGCCCTTCCCCCTCCTCCTATCTGCCCATCTCCCTCTCATCTACCAACGCTCATCTCCATGGCACCTCAGGGGTGCTTTTCCCAAAGCCCTTCCTATGCACCCGAAGGCATGTTGTTCATGGCGGACTACTGTAACTCCTGTCCTTGAGCCTGTGCTCACTACTAATCCACCCATTTCTCAAGAACCGTGTGCCCTGCTTCCCCGGTACCCAGCCAGTGCCTATGAAAATGATGTTGGTTTGGTGACTGGCTGACTCAATGTTGGGGTACCTGAATTAATGTCTTTGATATTTGTAAAGGATCATCAAGAGGAGTCATAGGAGAAGAACTTATAGAAGGAAATGGCATCAAAAAGCAGGTAGAAAATGAAGGAGGAAGTGGAGAGCAGGCCCAGGAAGGAAGGACAGGCAAGTGAAGGTGACCCGGACAGACCATGAAGATAACTCATGTTCTTTGCCCCTCGGAGTCCTGGAATGAGGACCCCTTTTCTGTAGCTCCTGTCTAGAATAATAGATAGATGTTTCTGAGCATAGTTTTAGAAATGAATTTATGGGAATAGAGCAATGGTGGTTTCAAAGAGGTTGAATTAACCAAGGTAACATGTCAGGAAGTCCTACCATCTGTAAGGAAGGTGAGAAAATGGGAAGCTCCCTGAAAACAGGCACCACTACTGTTTTAAGAACTACACGAGCCCTAGCTGTTTGGCTCAGTGGATAGAGCGTCGGCCTGCGAACTGAAAGGTCCCAGGTTCGATTCCGGTCAAGGGCACATGCCCTGGTTGTGGACTTGATCCCCAGTGGGGGACTTGCAGGAGGCAGCTGATCACTGATTCTCTCTCATCATTGATGTTTCTATCTCTCTCTCCCCTCCCTTCCTCTCTGAAATCAATAAAAATATATTTTTTAAAAAATAAGACCTACACGGATATTAACATTATAATGCTAATAGCTCTCTCTTAGCAAATGCTTATTACATGCCAGGCATAATCTTTACATACCTTGTCTCCTTTGCCTTCATTTAGTTCCACAACAATCCTATGAGGCAATTATTATTATCCTAGCTTTCAGAGAAAAAGCCAGGTGCCCAGGCTGGTCAATGATGGAGCCCCAGGGTATAAACCTAGGATTATCTGTCTCCATATCACTGTGTAGAGAAGGAACTCCAGGGTGTGCGTGTGTGTATGTGTGAGAGCGCGGGGACAGGAAGAAAGATGGTCTTGGTGCAATAACCGTCTATAATGGCAGCCTTTGTCTCTGTAGTGCTCTGTGACCTGCGGTGAAGGGACGGAGGTGAGGCAGGTGCTCTGCAGGGCCAGTGACCACTGCGACGGGGACAAGCCCGAGGCCGCCAGAGCCTGTCAGCTGCCTCCCTGTAATGGTAGGTGTGACACTAACTGGTTTCACTGCTCTTACAATGGTTTTTAAGCACCAGAAAGCAGAATTTCCTTTCAGGACAAGCTCTGGAATTTCTATTTGCTTATCAGAAAATAACCAAAGGTAATTAATCTTAAAAAATTAGCCTAAAAAGAATTCCACCCAGGGAATTGTCCTAACCACTGGGGTCAGGGCTGTGTCCCGTACATGTAGCATCTGTAAATATGTGTTTCTAGAAGAGCTGCTTATTGTCTTCTGTGACTTTCTTTATAACCTCCTGTCATTGTAAAAGCATAATATTGTGGAAGGTTTTGAAGTGTTTTACTAAAGTTATTCAGTATAGACATGTGGGTGGTAAATGCTATTTAAAAAGCTATTTCCAATATCTGTCCGTCTACCTCCATGCACTCCCTGAGGGTGAGTTCTGAATAGACACCTTACACATGCAGAAATCTGCCTGCTCTGCTCTCTTGCTGGATTACAAAAGCAGAGTCAGTGTAATTTAAAAATAGACAGTGCTTTGCTGCTGTGAATCAGATAAAATATATATGGGATGGCTTCAGTTTCTGTCACTCTGTCTCCTTTTCTGTGCTGTCTCCGTCCTCTCTGCCTGTTCTGCTGCTTCCCTTCTTCCTGCACACACCTTCTCTTCTCAGCCTCTCTCTCCACCTCCCATCGCATTCTCAGGTCTTCCATACTCTCCTTTATCGCTCTCCTCCGACCCTTTCTCTACCACGTGTGCCTGTGCCTCTTCCCAGTCTCATACATTCTCTCCCTTCTGTCCTCTCCCTCCATCACAAACTTACTCTTAAATGCAATTCTACTAAGACTGTGCCTAATACAACTGTGGACGCTGCTCAGACCTACTAGTGAGGGTTGGGACTAAAGAAGTTGCCTTTCTAATGGCCTGCGACAACATATATTGCTTGAATATTGACGTGTGCTAAATGGTTTATTTTTTCAAGAAAATTTGCAAAGCACTATTTTGTCAAATGTCTTATTATTTTTTTAAAGAAATTTCAGGCTTCAAGTCTTGTAAACCTTATAAATTATTTCATTATACATTTTCATTTGAAATGTGTAGTGGTATGAACAAGAATGACCATGAGGGGGAGACAAAGAACTTGAATGCAATCATTTTTCTCTGGAAAGTATATTTGAAAGTTCAAAACACAACATCAGATCCAGAGAAGACACTTTACTCAGAAGCTATAAAGTTTAGTTGCCCTAATATTTTATTTTTTATGTAGGCATTACCTCCAGGAGGCTAAACACTTTGTGAGTAAGCTTTGCTGATGTTAATAGAGCTATATATTTCTATAAATATGCCTAATTATCAGCAAGAATATACTTGATTCTCTTCCTTTTTAGCTAAAAGAAAATGTTTTTATTATAAAACCGAGGTGCTGATGGGAGGACATCACTATGTTATGTTAGTGATTCCACATCCTTTTAGCTTCTCTCTTACTCTGAAATGTAGAATTCTAAAAGGCCACCTGTTTCTACCATATATCAATGGAGTAAGTAATACTTCCCTTCAGAGTCTCAAGCTGCAATTAGAATCAAATGGCCTTTTGAGACCCTGTGTAAAACGTTTTTTTCTGAACTCCTTAGAATGATCTGGGCATGGAGTGAGAAGGCTAAAAAAACTTCCTTAATTTTAAGGATTTTGCCATATGAACCCTTTTCTAAGCCCCGTTTTTGATTGTACTATTTATGGCTGCCATTAAGCCCTTCCCATCTATCCCAAGGCAAATTACCCATGAAATTAATATATTTCTTTGCTCTTATTTTCCCCCCAGAATATCTCTGCCTTTTCCCTCTTCCATATAGAAGCATATTCTGGCCATAATTAGACCCAGGCTGTGTACTTGTCCCTGCAATGCCAAGCTGCTCACACTTAGACACAGCAGACCCTTATGTGGTCTCCTTCTTTAACTCAAAGAGAATAGAGCGCTTTAAGCTGGGCCACATAATTTAGAAGGTTTCAAAGACTTGGAACCAGAATGAGGGTGATGGAGGTCAGGAGTCAATGGGAAAAGAGAGTACAGGGTCAGATAAGGTCCATTATCCTAGGACCTAGAGGCTTAATTACACAGGAAGAAGAAATTATCTTCCTTATCCTATGTAATAAAAGCCTAATATGCTAAGTGTCCAGTCATCCATTCAACCAATCAAAGCATAATATGCTAATGATATACTAAGGCTGCTCAACCGCTTGCTATGACGCACACTGACCACCAGGGACAGACACTCTGACCAGTAAGTTATCTTGCTGCTGGGATCCAGCCAACTGGGACTGAGCAAGACAGACCGGACATGCCCTGGAGCCCTTCCACGGTTCCTCCCCGGCTGTTCAACCTTCCGCGTCCCTCCCTGATCATGCACCAGTGTGGTCCCTCAGCCTGGCCTGCGCCCTCTCGCAATCCAGGACCCCTCAGGGGATGTCGGAGAGCTGGTTTTAGCCTGATCCCACAGGCCAAGTTGAGGGACCCCACTGGTACACAAATTTGTGCACTGGGCCTCTAATCCTATCTAATAAAGAGGGAATATGCTAATTGACCCTCATACTATTGCAAAGATGGCATCACCCACAGCCAATAAGGAGGGGATATGCTAATTGACTATCCTGCCCTCGAAGATGGCAGCGCCCACAGTCAATAAGGAGGAAATATGCTAATTGCCTGCCCTCAAAGATGGAGGCATCCACAGCCGCAAGATGGTGGGGCCCAGTCCCCTTAGCCCCGCTAGGGTGGCAGGCATGTGGCCACTCCGTGTGCCTGCCTCTGGAGACCCCCAGTCCCCTCAGCCCCCCAGCCACCTAGGGCTGGCCGGAGGCGCAGGCAAGCCTCGGATGGTGGCTGCCCAGCTGCCCAGGGCTGCCTGAGGCTCAGGTAACCAGGGCCGGCCGAGGCTTGCACTGCCAGCAATGACAGCAGCAGAGGTGTGATGGGGCTTTGCCTTCCCCTGATCGCCGAGTTGCCTCCCACCTCTGAGGGCTCCAGGACTGTGAGAGGGGGCAGGCAAGGCTGAGTGACCCCCCCCTCCAGTGCATGAAAATTCATGCACTGGGCCTCTAGTTTTAAGATAATAGGCATAGAAAAAGTCATTTACATATGATGAGGAATTGATATTTGATGTGAAACCTCATTAACACCTTTTGTACCGCATGTTTTCGGGCAAACTGCACGTTATTTAAATCATCATAATGCACTTTAGGTGTCGTTTTTCAATAATTATAACATTTTTATTTACAAAAACAATTAAACAATTAAACAATTAAAGTTCCTAGTACTTTTTTAACGTATGGTACTGCATAAAACATTTTCCTCTATGAAGAGGGACCAAACAAAATTTACATAAGTATCTAGATTCGCTCCTTTTTCCATGGGTATGAAAAACGAGAAAACTCGTGAGCGGTCCCTTAACAGATGGCGCGTGAAACACGAGAAAACTCGTGAGTGGTATGAAAGGTGTTAAGGTGATTCTCAGGCATTCACAACGTAATTAGAAGATTACTTTAGCTAATAGAAAATACTCAAACATCATACTATATGGTAGATTTGTAAATGTCAGGCAAATATAAGTCATTCCATAGTTTGGGACGTGGACATGGTTCTGTAACTCTAGTAGGTAATTTATCATTTCTAATACATAATAAATAAAGGTGGTATTTTTAGCTCTCCTGTTGGCCTTGCCAACTGACCCTTTTTTTTGTTCTTTTTCAAACTCAGAAAAAAAGATTCTTTGACAAGTTATATGGCAGGTTCCTTACTTAACAATATAGTATTAGCCAATAATACATCTAATTAAAACATTATCTCAGTTTTTTCTTTGGTAATATATTTTTAAGATTTAATTTGTTTTAGCAGGTCTTGAGTATATATTTTTATTTTAAATTTAATATAGAGGCTACTCTATATTATAAAATAAAATAAATCAGATGCTTCTTTATATCCTAAAAATATATGTGGTAAAAATAATCCTATTTTCTCATTAGGAAATCAGATATATGTTCCTAGTGAGAACAAAAAAATACCCTTGCTCTGAAGACTCCTGATGGACATATTAAAATGGAGGAAAACCCAAATGCTTTGCACATAAAGGACTACTTACTGCATTGAATTCATCCTCATGCTGATATCTGTAATGTAAAGCTTCCTTTGAACAACTCCCATCAATGTCTGGTTTTACTTAAATCTTTTGTAAATTCATAAAAATTTGTACTTTTTGCAGATGAGCCATGTTTGGGAGATAAATCCATATTCTGTCAAATGGAGGTGCTGGCGCGGTACTGCTCCATCCCAGGTTATAACAAGTTGTGCTGTGAGTCCTGCAGCAAACGCAGCAGCACCCTGCCACCGCCCTTCCTTCCTGAAGCTGCTGAAACTCGTGATGAAGTTATCTTTAACCCCAGTGACCTCCCTGGATCCCTAGTGATGCCTACATCTTTGGTTCCTTACTATTCAGAGACTCCTGCTGAGAGGAAGAAATCTTTGAGTAGGATCTCTTCAGCAGGAGGTCCAAATGCATATGCTACTCTCAGGCCAAACAGTAAACCCGATGGTGCTAACTTACCCCCGAGGAGAGCTCAGCGAGCAGGAAGTAAGACTGTGGGGCAGGTCTCCCCTGCCACCAGGAGTGGACACCTCACTTCATCCTCACAAACAGCTGCTGCCCCCTTCCTTGCAGTCCATGATTCAACAGGTGCTTCTTCTCAGGCAAGAACCTCAAAGAAAGAGGAAAAGATTAATGACAACAGACATCCGCTAAGATCGCCCACCTTGGAAAGATGAAAAGGTGAACCTAAAAGGCTAGAAATCAGAGGAAAGCCTGGCCAAGCCCCCTCTCCCAGTGGTGCATACAGCTTGTTGAAAGTGGTCATCTCCATACATTGTCAACTCATTCTACCTGTAAATGGAAGAGCAAAAGTGCTGGTTCACTTTCTAGTTGCTTTCCTCCTTTTTTTGTTCTGCGTTGACTCATTACCAGAATTCATTGGAAGAAGGCACCAAAGAATATTAACAGAAGGAAAGTGGCTAAGTGTATTGGTCACTCTCTACAGCAGAAAAGGGACTGGAGCCATTTGTGCATGTCAGCTGATTTTTTTGTTTTAAAAAAGTTATAGTAAAAAGGAGGTGCCAACGGTTTACACCTTAACAAAATATTTTGGAAATGGAGCAAAGAATTTGTAGACTTGTATTTCTATTTATCTATATTAGAAATATTGTATGAGCAAATTTGCAGCTGTTGTGTAAATACTGTATATTGCAGAAAGCAGTATTATTTTAAGAGATGTGTTCTCAAATGATTGTTTACTATATTACATTTCTGGATGTTCTAGGTGCTTGTCATTGAGTATTGCCTATATGACATTTTTGGGGCTGATATTCAAAGCAGAATGTTACAAAGAAGAAGTTAGAATTGCAGCTACTGACAATACCAAGGGTTTTATTTAATCAACAGTGTGATGCTTAAGTTACAGAAAAAAACAGGTAAGCTGCAGATATACAGATTTCAGCTTACCTATTACTTTTCATCCTTTAATAAAAAGGAATGGACTGTGGTCACAGGGAACAGAGACCAGTCAATGAACCTGTGCAAGAAAAAAATGGAAACTTCTTACCAGGACCTCAATAGGCACCACTGAAGTGTCCTATGTTTTTAAGTTGTGTTTTTTTTTTATTTTCCCATTGTTGACACATCCAAGAAAAAGCATACTCAATGTACTGTAATAATAACAAAGGAATATGTATTGAGATAATTTGTATGTTGGTAGCTGAACTAGAATTTATACTCAAGTACAGTAGGGCTTTGGAAGCAGGTTCTAAAAAGCATTTGTCAATGGTTGCAATATTTATTTTCTGCATGGTTCACACACCCAAATGTTCACAACCACAATGCATCTGACTGCAATAATGTGCTAGTAATTTATGCCAGTGGTCACCTTACTCACAGTGAAGCCAGAAATGCTCTCTCCAGGGAGTGGATGTAAAGTACTTGTATATAGAATTCAGAACTGAAGATATTTATTAAAAGTTGATTTTTTCCTTGATAGTATTTTTATGTACTAAATATTTACGCTAATATCAATGACATATTTTGGCAAACTAGAGAGACATAATTAGAGATGCATGCTTTGTGCTGTGCCTACGGGAGAAACTTAAGCAAACAATAACAGCCAAATCAAAGAGCTAAAGCTGAACAAATTTGATGTGATGCAACCATTTGCATCTTTAAAGTAGTTGAAATGAATTTGATTTGTTCCCCTTCAATGAAACAAAATATATGGACTTAGTTAGCTTTTTTTGAAATAGTGAATTAGAAACATTTTTTTAAAAGTATGTGAAAGAGATATGCACTTCATGAATTATACTTCAAAGAATAAAGAAATATGCATGTCACCATAATGGTTTCGAGGTCAGTTTCTGAACTGTTTAAATGTATTATGCATGCTAACATGAAGACATGTTAACCTTCAAAGCACAGGATGTGCAAGGACTTTTGCATTTGAACCATGATAAACTAACAGCTTCACCTATTGACTCTATACCTCCAAGGAATCGCTGCTACTTTGTGCAAGACTTTTGAAAGTCAAATGAGTTAGGTGAATTCCAGATCATAAAATAATCCCGAGCCTCAAGTAAAGGTCATTCCCCACCCCCCAAAATGAATTCTCTCTAGTTTGCTTGCATGTGTATACATCTGGTCCATAGGAGAGTTTAAAGATGGTCACACACATACACCTCCCATAAAGATGTACACATTCGTTATACTTCTGATCTTCGAGCTTCCTTTTCTAGTAAGCTAAACATTCTTTTTTTTATCAAAGTGTACACTACTGATGCTGTTTGTTGTATTGGGAGCACGTAGCAATAAAAATGTTAATAAAATATAGATCTGGCTCCATTGAGGTTTTTATCATTGGATTCATCACTGAGTAATGAAAAAGTTCTCTTTCCACCTACAAAGTGAAATAGCATCAAATCCATTTGCTATTGGACTTTCTCTAAACTGTTCAAATGGAGTGACAGTGTCTCCTAGTCTCACGTTAGGGTGTATCATAATATACTTTAAAAATAAAAATTTAAAAAACAAGGTTTTATGGGGTGTGGCTTAAGTTCATTCCACAGAATTATGAAGAAGCAGAGAGAAAATGATGATTATATATATATATATATATATATATATATATATATATATATATATATATATAAGGGGGGTAGACTGTTAAAATGCTGCCCACCAGCTTTGAACCTTGATTGCCTGAGGATTGGCATGACTCTGAAGTATGGGGAGGAACGGAACATCACATTGGAGGGCCTTCCGGGAGTCACCACCTATAACTTCATACGTAAATGAGTTTAGGTAACCTGGCTAGGTTTCCTTGCCTGTAAAATAGGAGACAGAACTTGAAACACCATTGTGTGAGGACTGTGAGAAATGACATATAGCTGCTAGCATATAGTAACTCACAATTACTAGTGTCATTATCCTTATATCATCCCCAGCCTCCTCCTCATCTTCACTGTGTGAACAAACCACAGCTTTCCTCTAGGGTCCATGGCTAGTTTGAATCACAGTCACTGGACCTATTGATCGTGGTAAAGAATGGAGTTTAAGGAATCTAAGGACAAAAAAATGTAGCTTTAAAAATTGATGGGAAAGATTAATTCATTAAAAATGCTCATCAGTCATTGATTTTTGAAGATTTGTAGCTATTTATACTCACGCTGCTTTTGCCAACATTAAATAGTCAAACTAAGGAATAACCGTTAATTGTATGTTTCTATAAAGGTGGACATGGGTGCAATAATTCCCAAATTATTAGCAAAACAATGTTTCTCATATATTTACATTAATCACTTGGCAGGAATATTAACAAGTCATTCCTTTATACCTATTTTGTATTTTATTCATGAAAAGGCTGCTTAAATATACTAGTAAGATTTTAAGAACTGAAAAATGATGGAAACATAGATAAGGTATAACAGATATCACTTGTTTAAAAGAAGTACTAAATAAAAAATAAAAAGTAAGCAGTTGAAGTAAAACTGCTTAAAATGCAGTAAAATATAAAAGCCAACCTGGGGTGCACAGGCATTACAACACATCAACTAATATTAGAAAACAGTCATCTGGGGCCCAGATGCTTCTGCATAAATCACTTAGAGCTAGAGATAAAAATTAAAGAAATAAAGCAAAACATAATCTACTGAAATAAATTTATCAAAAACATAACTTTTAAGACAAAACAAAGTGCTATAAATTTCTACAAAATCAGAATTACCACCTTATTTCTTTCCCCCATCCTGATGTATAAAAGTGCATAAAAGTCACTTGTCTACTTTGTTGGGACGCTAATGTTATTGCACTGACACTGTTGATTGGAAAGGTTGCTCTTTTCCAGCCATTCATAGTTTCAAACAAATTATTAATTTGACCAGTTAATTTTCAACCATTTTATTTTACAATTTTTATTGTTATTATTTTAAAATTCTCACCCAAAGATATCACTCCCCACCCCCCTATGATCTTTAGAGAGTGGAAGGGAGCGGGGAGGGGGAGGGAGGGAATGAGAGAGAGACACATCTACTGGTTGCCTCCCACATGTGCCCCTACAGGGGCTGGGGAATCAAACCTGCAACTGAGGTTTGAGCCCTTGACCAGGGAATGAACCTGCGACCCTTCAATCCACAAGCCAATGCTCTAACGACTGAGAAAACTCACCAGGCTCAACCATTTGCTTTTTAACAATTCACTGGGGTTTGAGTAGTGACTATATATATATAATCCAGATCATATATACATATATATATATATATATATATATATATATATATATATGAAATCAGAAACCCCAAATTCCTCTGATATCAAGAACAAAATGATTATTCACAGCCAAGTGTTATTCTTACTCAGATCACAAGTGTTAATATCCTTCCCTGTAAGATCATTCCAAAAGCTTAAACCAGAATATCAAAGCTCTTATACAATCCACTAATAAACAGGTGATGCTAAAATTAGAAATATATACACACAAAGAACACTTCAAATTAGCTGTTTGGAGATTTACATGGAGAGACTCTCACTAGTAGTTCAAGAGTGAAAATAAACATCTCTCTGGTCAAACGTAAACGGAGAGTAGGTCTGCTTTCTGTTTCATGCCAAAGAGGTAAGACTTCTAAAGGTCATAATAAGAAGTTAGTGTCCTGTTGAGGGTGTGGGCACCAACATCAAACTACTGGTTCTCTAATAGCCAACTAATTGCAATGTGTGAATTACTGAATGTGTCTAAGCCTTAGTCTTTTCACCTATAAAATGAAGATGACAGTGATCCATACTTCATGGGGCTGTTTGAGCATGAAACTAGATAATCCAAGGAAAGTGATAAACATGGCCTGACAGGCATTGATTGTGCTCAATAAAGGTATGCAATTACTTTATCTCTTTATGGATGACTGACCCCAAAAGATTCAATTTGTTTTTTATTCTTTTGTTGACATGGTGTCAGTAGAGTTACTTTTTATTGTAAATTCTATATATTTTTTTATTAAATTTATTGGGGTTACATTGGTTAATAACATTACATAGCTTTCAAGTATACAATTCTATGATACATTACCTGTATATTGATTTTTTTTAATCAAGGTCACAATTTTCAAAAAGTCCCACATGCCCAAAAGAAGTTGAAACAATATCCAAAGAGAAAATTGTATGAACTAGGTATAGACTATAGAAAGTTGTCCATTCATAATGGACAACCTGGCGAATGACTCCAGCGGTCAAGGGAACTGCACTTTCTGCAGTGTCATCCTGCACCACAGGCTTCCTGCCACCAAATCCTCTTAATGAGGGACACACTTTCTCAGGGGTCCAAGGGATGGGCTCTGACTACCACATGACCAGGGAAGAAGGCTTCTCATATGACCTTTAATTATAACTGAAGGCCATTATCCTCACATCAGCAAGTATCAATGAGATCATCATAAAGAAGTGAGTAGAAGTGTGAACTTTGAGAGAAAAATCTGAAGTCCTATTAGTAAAGCATATTGCACTTCCCACTGAGCCTATTG